GTGCTTAGTTCCAGACCCTCACGGGCAGCTGCACTCGGTGGCCATGTTCTCGGGGTGGAAAGCAGTGAGCAGAACTCTCCCCCCAGGAGTCGTGCCCACCGGGTGGAGACGGGGTGGACAAATGAGCAGACCCCCGCTTAATGCCCGAGAGAGAGGCTGTGAGGAGAGTAAAGGAGGCAGGGCCGGGCCATGTCAGTCCTGTGGGCCGTTGTCAGGCCCGAGGAAGGAGCGGGTTTAGAGGGCTGGAGGAGCAGGGTGCAGAGTGTGACTGGAGTGGGGAAGAGGCAGGGTAGGGGGCGCGGGGGAGAGGAGGAGACAGGGCCCTTGTGACCGCGAGGGCTTCAGCATCTCCGAGTCAGGGGAGCCAGGGGAGGGTTTTGAGCAGAGAGGAGTAGCATGATATGACTTGCTTTTTTTTTTTTTTTAGATGATTTTTGCCAAAGGCTGCATGCACTCATCAGAGAGAGGGGGTGGGAGACAGTGTGAGGGAAAGTGAAAAACTACCCCCAAGGGGATGGCCACGTCACAGTCCCTTCTGCATTCTCCTCCTAGGATTCTGGGTGCACATGCACAGGTGCCCAGCGTGATTGTCAAGCCGCCACGTCTGGAACGTGAGCCTTGGTTGTCCATGTGGGAGTTCAGTGCCTTAAACACCATGCCACCCGCTGACCCCATGACTTGTATTTTTCCTTAGAGAGGTGTTTTTGCTATAGGACATGTGCACTTACCAGAGAGACAGAGAGATACAGAGAGACAGAAAGCGGGAAGTCACCTCCCAAGGAGGTTGGCCATGCTGCAGTCAATTCTCCTCCATTCTCCTCTCGGGATCTTGGGCACGCATACGTGAGTTTTAAGCCACCAGGTCCGGGATTCAAACCACAGTTGACTACGTGGCAGTCAGCAACATAACCATTATGCCATCTGCTGGTCCCATGGTTTGCGTTTTTAAAGACTCTCTGGCTGCCTTGTTGAGAACAGATGGGCTGGGGTGGGGTGGGGGATGGGAAGACCAAAGGTAGAAGCGAGGGGCAGTTAGGAGGCCCCGGCGTAAACCCGCGAGAGAAGGTGGCCAGTCGAGGTGTTGCACAGAGGTGCGACGTGGGGGAAGTCTGGAAATCTGGTGAGGACAGACCACCAGGTCCGGATGAGGCTGGGAGACAGCAGACTCGTGTTGGAGCCA